CAAGTTCACAATGATGTTTATTTTATTATTATACGGTAGACAATATTTCTAGGAGAAATATTGCTCCAATCAAAATATAACAAGAGACCTTTTTAGTTGAGTTATGTCTTTAATTGGTGCTTTAGAAAGGTAATTTGTTGAAGTTCTCATTATTATTCAAGGAAAATTGAGGAAAAACTGATTATTTAAGCTAAAAAAGATTAAAAATAAGGTTATCATTGGCAACCTTTTTCGTTTATATTATGTTATTATTAAGTTTTTATTATTTTAAAGTTTTAATTTTTTTTAATCGATTTTTGTTGTCATGGAAACATACATAGTTGAAAAAATAATACTATCGACCGAGCTCCGCTCAGAATCGTTTTTCGTTAGTAGTGATTAATCGTGGCGTACAGATAATATAAATTAAATTCCTCTCTATATCCTATCTTCTCAACTTCTCACCTACAACAGTGGTCCATCCGTAGTGCGAAGTATGTCAGTTCGTTTTTTTTTTTTTTTTTGTGTGTAAATTATTTTAATAATAATACCATAGTATTATAGCATATATTATTGGAACATTAATGATCAGTAAGTGCGACGAAAAAAACGGAATTAAAAAATTCACCCGAACGCGGATTATAATACAATCGTAAAAGGTTGCAAAAGGTCATTTCCTTTACAAGGAATACTGTGACTTGTTTTTGTTTTGGAAATATGAATACAAATCGTATTTAGATTTTACGAACAATGACAGTGAGCGTTATGATGCCGGGTCTTCGCATGTATACATTAGAGCGCCGCCGCATTAATTAAATCGGACGAGTTTTTAGTGAGAAAACTCGCAAGTACCTTCACGTTAGTTTTGTTTCTTAAACTATACAATTATCGTAAAATCATTAAAAATGTTGTTGAAATTAAAACGCGATATTAATAAGAACCGTCTGTTTGACTCTGGGCTTGGCTGCGTTTATCGGTTGTCCGTAATAATAACGGCAACAACACTTTGTCAACGTACGTATAATGATATTGCGATAACCGTTTTATTGTTTTATCTTCAGGGACGGACCCGCGAAAAAAACGGGGGAGGGATCGATTTTAAAAATTCATACGAAGCACATGTTTATGATGATGATTAGTTGTGGTTTCAACCGTTTTTATTGTTTACATCGGACACAGTTTTTGGAAGAGATCGGTTGAATTTAATTAAATTCTCGGAATACCGCGGCCGGTTTTTATGGGAAACGAACGATTATTGCGACAGTAGGACGTAGGTACTGGTGCTGGTACTTTTACAAATTATATTCACCACCAATTGTGAGGCATTAAAACAAAATAATAGTTCACCATCTCCGACGGAAAACCAAACTAACACCCACTAAATAATATTAATATTATGATATGAATTTATAGTTCATAGCATAATATTAAATATCTTATTTTCCTTCGCTTACCTCCCAAGTATTTGGGATTGGTCGAATTTCACTTCCCAATCTCTCCACACGGTCCTTGCATACATGCACTGTCCTCATACTATTCTCAATCGCATCCAACCGCCTTTATTTAGGTCTTCCTCTCGCCCCCTTTTCTCTTAAGTTTATTTTCTTTACAATTCTTATTGCTTCTGAATCCTATCTCATCTTGACATGCCCAAACCATGTCAAACTGCGTCCCCAAAATATTATCCTAAACATGAGTCTGCTCAATAACAATCAAGTTAAACAGAATTTGATTATGTATAGTCTAATGATTGGTATTTAAAAAATGTATTTTTAATAAAACTAATCAGATTTTTTTTAAAAAATTTAATGAAAAATGTTTTTGTGACAATAACCGAAAATTCGCCGAACTTCGAAGACTTAAACAAAAGGGAACGGAATAGTACATTAAATAAGAAAGACTTTATTATCATTTTACTCACTGATAATATACAGGGTGACAACTTTGTCATAAGCCATTATTTTAACCGGCGATTTTTAGCTGGGATTTGGTGGACAAGTATGTATTGGTTATCTTTGAACTATTAATATAACAAAATCGTCAACGGATCATATTTTAAATGTTTTGAAAAAGTATGACTTCATTAATAAAAATACATATAATGTCTTAATTTCAAAATAATTTTCCTTTTAGACCATTATACAAATTCAAAACGAGTTATTTTTAATACCTAATTATTTGAAAATAACTCAGCGTGCACAACACAATATTAATTTTAATTTATTTAATTATCGTGCCGTATATTATTGTAAGAAACATAACCATCATTTATTTTAATTACTTAATTTGTATAGGTTTTTATTGTAAACCTGTTACGCGGTTAAAAACAAAACTTAATATTTACAAAAAAAATCTTTATTTTTTGTATATTATTATACTATAGTCAACTATGAATCATTCTTGTTCAGTTACTATTATATGTACCTACGTATATATTGTATGAAAATAAATCGTTGATATAAGTTTCAAGTTTTTATTACATTATTAAATATAATGAACGCTGTAAATACCGCAGTTATTATTATGAGTAATGTCAGAAATTAGTCGTTTTTTATTATAGGTAGGTTGTTGACTAGTTTCTTGAAAAAAAAAAAAACAATAGACATTCTGGAACATTGAAAAATTCAAAACACATTCCATCTACAATTAATTCCAGTTTATCGTATTTTTGTCCCGAATAATGAAATAATATATTCGATCGTCAACTCGCATGTATAACATTACTGAATTTCCTGTTTTGGTACCCATTTCAGGTACAGTATATTATGAATACCCATACAAAATCTACAACAAGCTGAATTAAACGGACGTTTTTTATTTAATAATTGGTTACCGACAATTTAACAAAAACCGTAAAGTTACAGTCATATTTTAAAACATATCATAGATAGATATCTATACGTTTCCCTATCTATGGTAACATAATAATCGTGCGAATGAATGTTTATTAATTATGAATTTTATCTACCATTATTATTATATTTGATACATCGTGTGTGTGTACTGTTTTATTGAAAAAAAAAATTGCACCACTATTATGTCTCGCAGTGAATTACAATTACAAATGGATTATCAAAAAATATATAATTCATCCAATAGGTAATTTATACATTTTATAGTGTTTATAATTCCGTAATATTTTATCGTTATTTAAATATTGAGTTTTTAATCCGGATTATAAGGTATGGTATGTAAATATAATTATTTTTACAAAAGTTTTTAATTTTTACATAATGATGAATACAAATTATTTTTATCGGATGATTTCTATTGCTAAATCTAAACTTTCCGGTACTTTTTTTTTTATTCTAATTAATAATTATTAACTAGTAGATGTCTATAGTATAATTATTCGTTTTATTTTCAATGTTGAACTACAGAAATACAATGGACGCTTTAAATCTATAACAAACACAATAATACTGTTGGGGCACTTTAAAATGTTTATTTTATTGATAATAATATTAGTAATATTTTGACGATCGTTCGGTTAATTATAACGGTCACTGAATTCGGAAAATCGCCAGTGAATATCCCCTCTACAGCAGAAATTACTGTAGGATCGAGTGGAATAAACGGAGCGATTGTAAATTAGTTTTATAATATATAACGTAAATTCAATTTACTAAAAATAACTCGTTATTTTGATATTTCCGCGTCCAATACGGTAGGTAATTTTTACTATCTAATACTCGGTGTCTGCGATTTACGAAAACTATTTTTTAGTTAATCATTTTTTTTTTTTTTTCATCAATCCGTTAATAAACATATATTTTTAATATTATAATCAAAAGTGTAGATAATCTCATACTGTGCTGTCTGAATTATTTAGTTAATTAATCTAATTAAACAAATAAAAACAGTATTGTTACAGTTTAAGTGCGCGTTGAAAAGCGAAAAGAAAGAAAATTTGAATATACTGCGAGTAATAATGCGATAATCAATTACGAGTAGAGATAACAATAATGAAATAAGTAGTGACTTGATGACGGGGAAAAAATTTTAATATAAGATGACTTCTTTTTTATTCTTTAAAACTAGAATACACGTGTAGGTAGCGTTGAAGTTATTATTATTTAAATTGTTCGCTATTGGTATTTACTAATAAAAAGGAAGACAACGAAAACTATAGAAATCTATCTGCGAGAGTACTACAATGTGTTTTTGGAAATGAAATATGTTAAAAGCAGAGCGGTGTCGCCATCGATGGCCGTCTTAATAACTAAACCATAAAACACACAATGACTTAACGATTACAAAATTAGAATTTAAAAATATTAAGGACATTATGGAATGAAAAACAAGTATTGATACTTTCAACCTTTCCCGTTCTATATGGCCATCATGCGCTATTTATTTTTTGTAATGATTTACTTCACCAAGTAAATTAATTAAGGTAGATGACTACAACAATAACCGCATGGTTCGTCAAATAAAAAAATTATACTGTTTACGAATAAAATAAAAATAATTGGCCGTAGCAGGGAACTGACCATGGGTAGTGACATCGCCCTAATTGTAGGTGTTCTAAAAGTATAAACTATATCACCTTTTATGAAAGGTAATTTCTCTCATTGGTGCATTGAGAAAGTCATTTTTTGATTTTTCATGAGGTTTTCGAAATAATTGGGAAAAATCGAAAGAAAATTATAGATAAAACGACAAACATTTACGCCATGCCGTTACCGTTTTCATTGTTTTCATTGTATCATACTTAAGTTCTTTACCAGAGATATTACTTCAATCGAAAAATGATAAGAGATTGATTATGTTTCTATTATTGTTTTGCTACTGACAGAGTAAGTAGTTTTTCGATACCCAAAGTAATTTTTCTAATAATTGGTAAAAACCTACAAAAGACAAAATATACTTTAAAATATAATTTTATGTTTACCAGCTGCCCCACAATCCATCTACAACAATGGCCGCACCCGTCCCCAATATTAGCTTTTTTTTTTTAATTCGTATTATTACTTTTTCTCTTCATTATTAGAAATAAGTCTGCGGTAGTTAATTTAAATATGTCACCATTTGTACCAAAGAGATCCACTTTTCGATACGAATGGATACACGGAAAACTAAACGAACAAATTTGTTACAAAAAAAGTAAACAGTTTTTCAATTGAATCGATTATCATATGACGTTTAAAAAATTAAAAATTAATGTTTATTTTTATTTTCAGGACAAAAAATCCCTCGTAGTTTGACTGTTCATGAAATAAATCATCAGCCGTTTCCCCACAATTCCAATTATGATATTGATAGAAATTGTTCGTCTTCGTCTAAATCGATAAACTCACTGCAAACTAGTAATAAAAGCTATGGTACAGAAAAAAATTATTTACAAAAGTTACCCGTGGTTCAGAATTGCCGCACGTCAGCGGATAATTGTTATACCATCGTCAATATAGAATTTCAAAATAATTTCCATTATTTTGTAAGATTTATCAGTGTTTTTTACCACACATAATATCATTCGGTTTGGTGGTTTGGGATCCCTAGTGTGCTGATTTGTGTCTACAACTTGAAGCTGTCCAAAAGAAGTTCCTTAATTACGCTAATTATGCTTTAAATATACCCTGCCCACCTCACGATTATTCTCCTACCCAAACCAAACTCAAATTATCTTCTTTAGCAGACTATCATTACTTTCAAAATATGTTATTCTTAACAAAACTTATATTTTCCACCATTAATTCTCCTCATCTTCTTTCAATTGTTAATTTTAAAGTTCCTATACGACCTACTCGCCATAAAATTTCTTTCCACGTTCCTCTCTGCATAACAAATTACATGCTGAATCAATCAATCAATCGGCTAATGAAACTGGCAAATGAGGACCACTCTTTCCTTAATATATAATTATCGTTTTCATTTTAATTTGTACTATATTAAATATTGTATTATTTACCCTATTAACTGGGCACTTAAGGGCGCCTAAAAAGTGTATACTTACGTGCTATTATTTACAGTTTGATTCTTAATCTGTTGATGTTTTAACATAAATTTATTATGTATAATACTGTTTTAGAATGGTGCGAAGACGCCGCTTAAACCCCCCCGGGTCGAGTACAAACAGATGAATATTTTCGCGCGATCTCGAAATAAATACGATAATAAGACAGACAAAATAGACGACTTGGAAAAAGTAGTATAATATTATAATACAAACGTAGCTCGATATTGTTCAAATAGAAATGTTTGTACCTATAATAATATGTTATAATTATAATTATTACAGAAAATTGAAAACACCAATCATGATGATGAACACGACCACGATCATAATAATAATTTATCCATATGTCTACAAAACGAAACAGATTTCGATAGCAGAAGTGGACTGCAATTTGAGAAATTTATCAAAGACCGTTTAACCAACGGTTGCATAGACATAGGAAACGAGTATGAAAACGATTCGAATGCTCGCATGGATGACAAAGACAATACCATTCAAAGTGATATAATATACTCGGAAAACGACGATCAATTCGAAATATTCCGTTTGAATGATAATCGAGAGTTGGAAATAAAAAATATAGACATTTGATATAGTAAATCATAGGCTATAGTTCACTTCACTTCTCCGCGATCGTTTTGCCTCCGTTCATTTCTGCGCCAACTATTCGTCGCCATTTTTTCGCAGTGATCCCTTTTATTTCGATTTTTAACTTTGCGCCGTAAATAAGTTGTTTTTCTACGAACGCAGGTGTGATTTTTTCTATAATAAATAGGTCTGTCAGGGGCACTTCATATTAGAAGAACCTCCTTCTTCTAGTGTTTGGATCAAATATACCTAGGTGGGATTTGGTGATAGGTCTAGTGATTTTAACGTCAACAAATTTGGCGTGGAATCCCACACAGGTTACTAATACCATAAAATCCCTTTTGAGGGGACTAGCTAAGAATTTGTCAGATTACAACTAAACTTTGGAAACCCTAAGTCTTCTCTAGACCACTCCCACCAAATTTAGGGTCAATCGGAGAGAATTGAAAAAAAAGATTTCACTCTAAAATGGTCGTATTATTTAGCGAGGTTACACCCTAAATTTCAGGAAAATAAACAAGAATATAAATAAAGGAGGTACAACAGTATCTAAATTAAAGTAGGGTAGTCTACTGGAAGTTACTCCTTTCTGTGTGCATACAGAGTGATTCACTCAACTGGGAATACTCATTATCTATAACATTTTTTTTTTTTTGAAAACTTCAGAAAAAAAAAGTTCTAAAATGTTACATTATCATTTTTTTTTTCGACCCTTATTTTCAGGAGTGAAACGCCTACCTACTTTTGGTTTTAAAATGGAAATCTATACTGAACATTTTTTAAATAGATAAAGTATTATTTAAAATACATGTTTGTATTGAAACTTGATTGCCGTCAACCCGTTAACCTTTAAGTTTTGACGGGGGGGAGTAGTGGAGAAAAATTAAAATGCCAAGCGCAGTTCGTTACACCGTGAGTTATAAGTAATAACCAGTGTAAATTACTCTGATTCGCGATTAGGTGAAACCTACTTGATAATTGATTGACAAAACTTTTTCTTCAGTCATACAGCTGCGGTGAAATGATGATATTCGAAAATTATAATATGTGTATAGGACTAAGTATACAGTTGCAGAATGTTGATTATTGAATGCCAGGAAAACAGTTTGATTCACTGAAATAGATTTATATTAAATTTCGTTGAAATCTTCGTTAAATTCGTCCCTAAATTACCTTATGCGCTATGTACAATATTTAATTTTCAACATTAATATTATTTAAAATTATATTATATCAGGAAAATGATTTATTTAGATAAAGTAATTAAATATGTCAAACATTGAAATAACAAACGCTCCGTTTTAACCGAATTGGTTGTTGTATAATTATATAATATTTATTATATATTATCTCGTGCGATAACGAGTAATGATTATTTATCAAATTAAAAAATATAAAAAACCAACTAATAAATTAAGTAAAACTTATGTAACAGACACTGAAGAGATATTGGGTTTTAATTTTTTTTTTTATACTACTTTTATTAAAAAAACTACAATCTATAGTATATACGAGTATTAACATTTAACAGTAAATGATAGATCGCCCCGATACTGCTGTACCATTACGGTTTCAAATAGTTGTATTCGATTTTAATTGTTTTCTATATCGGTTAAAATAAAAAATTAAAATAGTATTCAATTGTTTGTTTTCGAACCACGATTTTCCCTTTATCCGGCCAACGTGTTTTTGAAAAATGATCTAAATTCTCAAAATCGCAAAATTAAGAAACAAAATAAACAACAAAAATTAAATGAAAATACGTTTGAATTTGCATTGTATACGGTTATTAAACAAATTGCAGTGAAATTCGCGCAACCCTAACGGTATTACAATATAGAGAAACTATACACATTATAATAATACCATATCGTATTAGGTATTTAGGTAGTATAATATTATTATTATTATACATCGCCGCCAATCAAGCACTATGTAAACTTATGATAGGTACGATGAAAATTAATTAACTATATCCGAGATATACTTTGGCGAGTGTTTGAGATTATTAGAGTTTAAATGGTCCGACGACTGACAAGACATCATCCATAATCAGTATTCCGAGTGCATTCTGCTACTGGATTTACGAGGTCGCACGTGCGAAAAGAAATACCTATGTACATACATACGCACGCGGGTATGTAATATGAAATATCCAGGTAGCTTATATATTGTGTGTATGTACATAATTTTTTTTTTTTTTCTATGAAATGACGTTGCGTCACATTCAGCAACCCAAAAACCGCTAACGTCTTACCAAAAATGGTTAGCAAACGAGATTTTATGTAGGTATATACCTGTGCCACGTTAGTTAACTGCTGAATAATATCTTCGTTATGGCATATACCGATAATAACGTAGGTATTAGAAGAAATAAAATAAAAAAAAAAAAACGTGATTTTAAAATAAAAGAGGAAATGTGACAAATAATATAATATAATATAATATAATATAATATAATACAGGTCTAATTGCAAACCGTTCGCATAAGTGAACGTAGGCATTTGGGTATAGTGTGCAAATTAGGAATGAAATGCGTCAATAACTTCGGACGAATAACATTGTACACGTGACAGTTACTTACAATTAAAAAAAAAAAAAAATTGTTTGATTATGTAATCAAAAATATTTTTTTTTATATAAACTTGAAGCACCACGAATACAAAAATATATTAAAATTGCATTTAAAAACCAATAAAAAAAAAAAAAAAACCCTAACTAATAGATTTATCATCAATTTGAATTGTTCTTTTTTTCTTTTTTGGGAATCTGCACAGTAAATAGTGAAAACAAGGGTGTAATCGAGTATTTACTCGAAAACGAAATCTTTACACGGTGAATTCCGTAAATTTTTCAATTTTAAAAAGTATTATATTTATCATATTGACGTGTATGACAAATTAAGATTTTCTTTTTATCATTTCCGACGAATTCTCCCCGAAAATAAAAACTATTTCACTGTACTGAACCTGCTTTGTATACATCTTTGTCCCGGTACCATTGGATAATTTTAAAGGTTCCCTCCGGGCCAAAAGAGTTCAAACCAAAAAGTTTTTTTTACATGCGGATTGAAGTGATAAAATTTCGGTTAAATTTTAATATGTACTGCACCATGCCGTTCTGGAAGAAGGGTTTTTTGTTTAGTTTTGTACACCCTTACAGAATGTACCAAATGAAAACAGTGAGTTAACATTTTGTATAATATGCATGTTGTAAAGATGCGTCTTTTAGCGATTTCAACTTTCAGCGCCCTCCAAAGTGATTTTTATGTTCATATTTCATGTGTTTGCCATTACAAACTTATAAAAATAAGTAACTTGGTTAAAATATTTGTATAAATAAATACAATTGTCGAAGACGTGGCCTTAGAACTTTTAATCCCCGCCCTAACCGTCTTTTTTTTTGCTCTTCTCGTGATATTATGTCCGGCTGAGTAATAAAAGGTTTTCCTAAAATGTCTAGATCCTTAAAATGATTTCTGATGATTTTTTATGAATCGCTCTTCAAAACTACCCGATAATTTTATTTTGATGGCCATGACCTCTAGAGACACAGATCTAAACGTTTGAGGGAACGTTTTTTTTTTTTTTTCTTTACGCAGCCGAACGGAAAAGAAAAAAAAGGGAGAGAGAAAAAAGAGAAAATCCCTGTCCACATTAATTTGTTCGCGAATATCATGCTTTAATCTCGGCGACTAGGGTTTATGTCTCAACGTGCGTATACGCAATAATGTACTGCAGATCGTCAATATAATACAAACGAACACGCGTCAGCGCGTCTACGTAATACAGAAAATCAAAACTCCGACGGTGAGCAATCGATTTTTTAAACCTTTTTACACATAGGCACTCCACTCTGCTCTCCGTGTATCTCTTTCCGTGTATTGTGTACACATACGCACCATCGGTGTCGCGCGTATACGAACGATTTATACAATCGATTCACTGTCGGCGGCGGCCGAAGGGGAAGGTGAACGGTAGTGGGATTTTTTTATTTTTTTTTACTTAATATTTTCGCGTCGAGTTTCGCGCTTTTCCCGTTGAGATCCTCGAGGTTCGAGAGAACAGTCCGGAAGTCCACAGCGGCAAATCGTTAACCGTCCGGAACGTCAGCCGGGGCGTACCGCGAGGAAACGGTTTGCAATCGCACGCCGTACAATTGCGTTCTGTAATACTATTATGTCGAATTTTTTTCTTCTTTTTTTTCATTCCATTACTTTCACTCGTATTTGCATGTATGATTTTTATTTTGAACGCGCGTTGAACGGCGGGTCGTGCGAATAAATCAATAAACGGCAAATAAACGTTAGCGGCCGCGCGTCGACGCAAACTTGCCGATACGCGTGATTCGTGTGTTATAATACGCGAGCACTACGGAAAACCCACTACGGATTTCAAACGCAATTTACTTTACCGATAGCGAAATTTTTTCGGGCGACACGCGTCACCGCGCGGTGCGACGACGCCCGTTGAGAGCCGCGGGCACCACAATCAGCCGCGGAAATACAATAATTTCATTCGCGTCGCCCGCGAGGCGCGCGCGCGTGTGTGATAAACCGAAAAGTTTCCGAGTCATTTGGGAGGAGTGTGGCGCGCGTAAAGTTTTCGTTCTCTCGTTTTCGCCGTTTTCGCCACAACGGTGTTCGATTTATAATAATAATAATAATAATAATAATAATATGATCCGTTTGCCTGTATATGTATAAACTACCTACAATTCTCCGGCCCGGAAATCCCTCCGGGCCGGGCGTAACGAGAAAAATCCGTCGGCAGCGGCGCACGGTAATAATAATTGGATTTTAACTTTTACAACGCGCGCGCGCGCCGCGCGCTCGCGGCCCGTGCGGTTTTCGAGTGTTTTTACTGTCGGGTTTTTTTTATACGTGTATTTATTTATTTTTCCTTTACGTCCTTTACGCTCACGCACAACAACATGTTAAGTATTTATATGGCCGCGGCCGGGCGCACTATACACACGCCGGAGGTCTTGATTGAAAACGCGAA